AGCAAGGCCTGGCGGGGGGGGGGGGGGGGGGGGGAAACAAAATAGGTGTTAAAAGATCCACATTCACTCGATATACGCACACATGAACCTGCACAGTGAAGCATTTGCAGATAAGAACATGTTTACTCGACCTTTCTTCCCCTGTCAGCTCACAGTCTGTCGTGTTTTTGACAAGTACGGGGCTTGGGGGACTGGAGAAGAGGCTCACAAAAGCCATGATGGTTGGAAGCGGAACTGGCCCTTCTCCGCAACCAGAGTAAGGAGCATCAGTCACTCGTTGGCTGAAGGTTTTGATATAACGTTACTGACAGTCTGGAGGAAAAACTCACGGTTTACGCGTCTCAACAACACATGAGACGCTTAACAGACATTATATCCGCTCTCATGTTTAACGCTGTCTCAACACAGCTTTGATACCCTCAGCTTTGTGTATGTCCCCGGCGGTTTCACAGATGCCCTGGTGCGAGACTGCAGACGCAGAATATTGTGTTTATGTTCGAAGGCTTTTTCTGGATCTTCCTCAGACATGGCGCCCGCAACTCTTTCGTGAAAATGGCTGCGAGGATCTTGCAGAAGCCAGTGGTCCCGCCCAGTTTGTAAGCGGAGCCAATCGCTGGGTTTTCCGCCGTGGCGGCGCCACAAAGACTCGCTCTGCTATTGGTTGAAGCACTGGCGCCTAAGCGCGAGAACAATTCTCTCTTAATCTATTGGCTATTGAGGATGCCATTGTTTTGAGCTCGCCGTACAAGTTAGGATGACGCATTATTTATATTCTTATGTTTATTACTTTATTAACGGTTTTGCTTTTGCTTTTATTTGACCAATATTTATTTTTCCCGAAGCACTGCGATGTACTAAGCTCTTGTACGTGTTTTGGAATTTAATAAACAAGAAAACAAATAAATACATACATTTAAAGACTAAATATTGAACACGACTGCGATTCAAAAGTAGCCCAAGATCTAAGTGAAACAGATGGAGCCAAATTAAACAATGTATAAGCTTAAAAGCTTAAAGGAATAACTTTAATAGAAATTCCCAAAGTAATACCAATGTACTACATAAAGAATTAGTCATAAATAGCCTGTTTATTTTGTGTAAGTGAAGATGACAATAAAGTATGTATGTTAGACTATGCAGAAAAAGTTATACAAGTTCCACTACATTTACAAACTCTTTAAACAGTGATCAACAAGCTTAAGCATAGACTTTTGATACCTATAGAGATGCAGACATTGTGTATACTATACTTGAGATTCAATTCTACACAAATGTGAAAATAAAAGTATTTGTCTGTGGCCAAAATATAATAATAATAATTATAATAATATAGTTTGGAGTCACACTCGCCTTAAATATTTTATGTTTCCTGAGAGGTATTCATTAAATTCAAAGATAAGGATGCTTCTGATTCATCACTTGTGTCTTTTATCTCATCTTCGGGTGGTTTTGATGTCTTTTGCCATATGAATATAAATAGTACAGTTAGGCACGCTGGTAATACAAATCCAAGAAGAAAGGCAATCATTGCAGTAAGTACATGTTCTGTGATTTGTGACAGAAACAAAGATTTCTCCCCTGAAACAAAAAGACAGAGCAAGTCAGTTGAGTTTTCACATATTTTTTCATTATGCTCCTATAAATTATTCATGCCCTTGTGAGTGACTTACCATAGGTTATCCTCATTTTCCCATCAATGCTTAAGTGTTCAATCTCACAGGTAACATCGTGGCCGCTCACGTTACTAAGGCTAAGATAGGAGGTCATCTGGAAAGTGCCATCCTTGTGAGGGAGTATTCCAGTAGTTGATACACCAAAATAGATTGGCCTTGCTTTTTGGGTCCAGCGTACTTTAATGATGTTTGGATAAAAGCCACGCACATCACATTTAATATATTGATCCTTTTCTCCTCCAGACGACACATATACTGCAGGTTTTGCTACATTTGAAAAGTAAGCAATTGTTTATCAAATTTGCAATGTGAAACCAACTGAATATAAGAGAACAGAGACATCCAATTTACAGTGATAGACATATACTGCAGATTTACCTGCCCTGGAGAGAGAGTTGTTGGACTTTAGGAAGACAGTTTTCACTGCAGAACACACCTTTACTAGTCGTGCCTCTTTTCTCTTAATGTATTCTTTGCTCTTTCTCTCTTCTGCTAAAAGCTGACCAGATTCACTCGTAGCAACCACAGCTTCTTTCACCAAATCCACATGCATGATATCTCTGCCATCATACCCATAGCGCCAGAAACGGCTTACTTGCCCTTCATTGTTGAATGCACATCCAATGAACTGCTGGTATGCATGTTCTTCTAAAATAAACCAATTGCAAAATGGTTACTACTAAATATCTACAGATCACATGCAGGTAATTTGATGTTAAAATATACACAGAACCTATTTGCACTTGAAATTTTTGTTAAGCCTTTGTCTTATAAATTTCACAGTTTAAAGTTAATAAATAAGCATATCTGGACTGATGTTTCCTTTTTGGATATGATCCAGGCTTGCACACAATCTCCTTAAAACATTTACCATTGTTTTTTTTTGTTATATTCTCCCACACAATATTACATTAAATATAAAAAATATATTGGACAAAATGTCCTACCTGCTGCAAGGATGGTATTAAAGAAAGCCATGACGAAAAGAAAAACTTGCATTTTGTTTTGTCAGTGACCCATAGCGCCAGAAACGGCTTACTTGCCCTTCATTGTTGAATGCACATCCAATGAACTGCTGGTATGCATGTTCTTCTAAAATAAACCAATTGCAAAATGGTTACTACTAAATATCTACAGATCACATGCAGGTAATTTGATGTTAAAATATACACAGAACCTATTTGCACTTGAAATTTTTGTTAAGCCTTTGTCTTATAAATTTCACAGTTTAAAGTTAATAAATAAGCATATCTGGACTGATGTTTCCTTTTTGGATATGATCCAGGCTTGCACACAATCTCCTTAAAACATTTACCATTGTTTTTTTTTTGTTATATTCTCCCACACAATATTACATTAAATATAAAAAATATATTGGACAAAATGTCCTACCTGCTGCAAGGATGGTATTAAAGAAAGCCATGACGAAAAGAAAAACTTGCATTTTGTTTTGTCAGTATTCACAACACTACAAGTTGAATTTCAAACGTGAAAGTAGGTATTTTATATGCTGTGCCGTAATGGTGCAATCAAGTTATTTTTCACCTACCACTTTTATATTTGCAATCACTTTATATGGGTTTAATCTTTAATGAACTGACTAAAATTCTTAGGGAAAAAATAATTCCAGCCTGTAAAAGGAAACCATGACATATCAAAAGTGAAAGTATGGAAAGAAAAACTGGTCAAGACATCATGTGATTGTCATGTGACTGATATTTTATCGGTCGGTTTTAACAGGAACACATTGGCTTTTGGTTACTTTCTGTGAACCAAACTGTGTGAATGGCAAACATGGAAATCATACAGACATTCATATTAATACTTCTGCTTTCTCCTCAGATCATCATGTGGACAGGTGAAGTTATAATATTGCTTTCTTTTCTCATCCCTCCTCTTTAACAGGAAGTAATGCATCATTTAGACAACAGGAAGATAAGAATCTTAGCATGTGTAAATCCATTGCATTTATTAATTTGCAAAATACTGTACTGCTTAATAATATTAATGAATAAGTTGTTGTTTTTTTAGACTACCAGACAGCAAATATCCTGGCCTACACACGGACGATGGAGAATGGCTCCATAGACCAAGCGCTGGTTGTTTTGGTGAATGAAGCCACATTTGCATACTTCGACCAGGCAAAAAATACATTTGTCTTGCGTCCCAGTGCAAGCGCTGGGTTCTCAGTTTTAGAAGACAGCGATCGCTCGTTCTGCATGAATGAGGTGTTAGCAGGATTTTATCGACAAACGAATTACCTGGAGAAACTCAAACAAGAAACAAATTCATCAAAAGCACTTTTGGGTAATCTGATCAGAAGTTATGATGTCATTCTAAACCGACAGGGGAACGAGATGCTGCGATGAAATCATCGCTTTGGGAACACCTTCGGTGTGATGAATGTCTGAAGCCCTTATACATCACCCCAATTTATTGGCCAAATAGCGCTTAGCAACGCCCCCAATGCGCACGTAGGCGAGCTATATAGCGGACTGCGAGCTATTTCCATCAGATTTCACAGATTTTCGAAGAAGCGCTATCAAGGTACGGAATGGCCAAGCATCGCAGCATCTCGTTCCCCTATTCAGGGAACCAAGGTTACATACGTAACCGAGATGTTCCCTCTCATAGGCTCACTTAAATGCTGTGATGACGTCATCGATTTGGGAACGCTATACCATAACGCCTGACGTACCTTGGATAGCTGGAAGACCGAGGAAAGCATCTGCTCAAGCGGATAAGACCCGGGAGCCATTAGCCATCCTCACGTCCAGACTGTAAAACTTGATGAAGGTGCTAGGAGAGGACCATCCTGCCGCAGCACAAACATCTTCCATCGAGGACCCCTTGAAAATGGCCTGAGAAGAAGCCACTGCTCTCGTAGAATGAGCACGCACCCCTAGAGGCGAAGTCAAGCCACGCGCCTCATAGGCCAAAGAGATAGCCTCCACTATCCAGTGTGACATTCGCTGTTTAGTGACAGCAGAACCTCTGCTCCTACCACCAAAACACACAAACAACTGGTCAGATCCACGCCACCAAACCGTGCGGTCGACATAGATCCTAAGTGCCCTAACTGGACAGAGATTCAGGCTAACTGACCCCTCTTCAACTGGGGAAAAAGCCTCCAAGACCACTTGCTGAAAACGAAACGGAGTCGAAGCAACCTTCGGGAACATAATCAGGCCTAGGTCGCAAAAAGACTTTGACCAGCCCCGGGGCAAAGTCCATACATGAAGGACTGACGGATAGAGCCTGCAGATCCCCTACTCTCTTAAGGGAGGATAAAGCCACCAAAAGAACCAAGAGCTTCTCTGACACAGACTCCATCGGTTCAAAGGGATGGCCTGTCAGGCCCTCCAACACAATCGATAAATCCCAAGAAGGAAATCATGCTGGGCGGAAAGGCCTAAGCCGTCTCGAACCCTGCATAAAACGTGAGACTAGGGGGTGATGACCAACCGAAACACCCCCTACGAGTGCATGCCCCGCTGATATGGCTGCCACGTACACCTTAAGAGTGGTGGGAGTAACCCCTTCAGAGAAACGACTCTGAAGAAACTCCAGTACTGAACCAATAGGGCAGTGGACTGGATCCAAAATACGCTGTCTACACCAAGAGGCAAAAAGTCTCCACTTGAAAGCATATAAGCGTCTCGTGGAGGGAGCTCTAGAATTCATAATAGTGTCGGTAATCTCAGCCGAGAGACCAGAACACATTAGCGTACCCCACTCAGGGGCCACGCCCATAACTTCCATAATTCTGGTCGAGGATGCCAAATCATGCCCCGAGCTTGCGTTAGCAGATCGTGTCTGAGGGGAACCTCCCATGGAGGACCTGAGGAACTTCCTGTGCCTCCTGACGATCGGGATGTGAAAGTATGCATCCTTTAGATCGATGGTCACAAACCAATCTTCGGATTGGACCTGAGACAGAATGGACTTCACCGTTAGCATCTTGAACTTGCTCACTCTGAGCACAAGATTTAGACGACGTAAGTCCAAAATCGGACGTAAACCACCATCTTTCTTGGGCACAACAAAATAACGGCTGTAGAAGCCGGACTCCATCTGAGTGGGGAGTATCTCCTCTATAGCCCCTTTCTCTAGGAGTGACACGATCTCCTACTTTATTTGAGAAGGCCGCGAACCTCGAACGCAGTGCTTTTAGCCGTAAGCTATCACAGTGTCGACAATCAGAGAGGCCGCTAAGCGCCGCTTGGGTGTGTTGTAAGCCCAAACATTGCACGCACCTGTCATGAGTGTCTCCTCCTGCGATGAACCTGTCAAACAGCTCGATGCATCTCCTGTAGCTCTGATGGAAATAACGCGCAGCACGCTATATAGCTCACCTACGTGCGCATTGGGGGCGGTGCTAAGTGCTATTTGGCCAATAAATTGGCGTGATGGTATAAGGGCTTCAGACATTCGTCACACCGAAGGTGTTCCCAAAGCGATGATGTCATCGCAGCATCGAAGTGAGCCTATGAGAGGGAACTTCCAGAATTGAACTTGTCAGTCTTTTCCATGCAGTTACAATGATTGGGGACTTTCAATGGACCTTTTTCACATTTCCGGGTTTCTCAGAAGTGGAAGTCGTCATAGTTGGGTTAACTTGAAGAGCAGTGAATGGGAGAGAGTACCACAAATATATTTTTTGCATTCCCATTTGCTCAAATAGAAAAAATAAATAAAACTCCACGATAGTGACTTTCAGTAAAAGGAAAAAAGAGAGAGAGACTGATAACAGCAGTCAGAAGAGAGAACAATGTCAAATTTATCGTCCCTCCCATAGATGCTGCATTAGAAACACCCTTGCATTAGCTTTAACTAGTTTTTTTTTTGTAATTTGATGCAAAGGTAATATAATACAAAGAATAGTGTTATACATTAAAAAAAATACAAATATGAAAAACTTGTTTGAATGAAAGACCGTTAAACGTGTCATCACAGTCTTGTGAAAAGGGTCCATTGGATGTTAATGATTGATTTATCTAAAAAAAAAAAACTCTGAATTTGTTCACAAAAAAATTTTCAAACTACTCCTTTAACAACTATTCAAGTTTTCTTCAAGAATTCTTTCTTTTTTTTCTGCAGTACGTCCTTCAGTCAATATGTATACTGAATTTCCTGAAGAACAAGGAAAAGTAAATGTCCTTTACTGCTATGCCACTGGGTTTTACCCTGGTGACATTGAAATAAACTTTTATCTAAATGGCCAAAAGTCCACTGTGAAAGCAGAGACCTCTGACTTAATGTATGGGGAAGACTGGACCTTCAAAGTGTACAAGTATATGAATATCACCCCACAGTATGGGAACGAGTACACATGCGAAGTGAGACACAGTAGTTTGGCTGAACCTAAAATGACAGAGTGGAGTAAGTTTGTTCACTTTTTTGGAAATGTGAAATATAAAGTTTGTTCAAATAGTAATATATTGATAAAATCATTAATACAACTGTTTATTATTGTTTTTAAACTTTTCTGAAGGGCCTGAATTTTCAGCATCCACATCACATCTCTACTGGGCTTATGCACTACCTCTTGGCATCCTGTTGGGAATCATGGTATCTGTCCTGGTTTTAAGAAGACAACATTGTTCTCAATTATAATGGGGAAAAAACTGAACTGCAGTACATATGTTCATCTGAACTTTGTGGCTTATAGATGAGCACAGTATAAAACTCATTTAGGTAGAATCCATTACAATCTATAATTTAATATTTATTCTGCAAACCAATTTTATGCCTGGTTTCACAGACAAGGCTTAAAACCTAGTCCCAGATAAAAAAAAATGCATGTTTGAGCTGTCTTTACTTAAAGCAACATGCACTGACATATCTTAAAATATATCAGTGCCACTGATTTGTATCAAAATGTACACTAGAATTGTTTTTTATAAGGCACATTTAAAACAAACAAACCTTACTTAAATGCCCTAATTTAACTAAGGACTAATCCTGGCTTAATCTAAGCCCTGTCTGTGAAACCAGGCCTTAGTGTTCTTTAGTCACTTTAAAATAGTCTGTATTTACTGTCAGGGGCATATGTAGGCATGGGGACAGGGGCACGGGGTGCCTGCTCCAGAAAAATTAATAAATAAACAATGAATAAATAAAAAATCGTTTTTTTTTTACCTTAATAAGCACGGCACGCTCACTCAGATGTATAGGTCAGAGATGCAAACAAGGGGAGAACATTGTGCAGATCGGGGGTGTAACGGGGCTGACAAGACGTGAGACGTGCGGATCCATTCGCAAAGCTTTATTAAACAGAAGACAGAGGCGTGGTCATAACAGGCAGGGTCAAACTATGACAAACAGGTATATGGCGGGCAAAACACAAGAATAGTCCTAGGGCTAGCGCAGGTCGACGATCGGCAGACAGAATCAAAAAGGGGCAAGACTAAAGGGGTAAATCCAGGAAAACAGGCGAAGACCAGAAACCGAGAAAACAGGCAAGGCAAGGCAATACTAGGCTAGGCTAGGCTAGGCTAGGCGGCTAACGATGGCTCTGTAGTGTAAAAGCGTTATTAACAGATAGGCACTAAACAATACTCAGCAGAGGGAAGGGATCAGAGTGAGTGTTAAATAGTGAGGGAGTGATATGAAACAGCTGGGTGCAATCAGTGTTGTGCAATAGTGAACCAGCTGTGTGCAATCAGTGCTGTGAATGATGGGATATGTAGTCCGGGAAGATATGGGAAGGGTGACATCTGATGGTTAGCCGACGGAAGTTCATGGACCGGGGGAATGCTCCACATGGAATTTCTTTTAAAGATATTTGCTTTACATGCTCATTTGTAGTTACTTTAAGGTATTTTTTTAAATATTTTTTATTACCTTATATGTCCAAAACTGTAATTTTTCACACACAAACACAAAAAAAATGTACATCTTGTTGCAACATTTTACAAAAATCAAGATTCAATATATTTGGTCAAAATTCCATGCTATAAAAGATGAAGTGCTATGCAAGCTATTTAAGTCAATATTGGCTGATTAGACGGCAATGCTGCCCTAAAATGCAAAATGTTTTCCCTCTCTCTCTTCACCGTTCCCACATCTCAGACCTCAAATACATAAAATATTACCCCTTTTAGACAGTTTTTGAAGTAAAGAGTAAAGAAAATACTATGCAAAACGTATTGAAACAACCAGTTCTTTATTTACCCTTGAAAGATCACAAGTAACCTACCCTTGTGGGCACTCTTATTCAAATAGCAAATATATATAATTACATTATAATATATAAAAAATAGCAAAATGTATGTCAAATGAATTTCATCTAGAGGTGGCACCAAGGGCGCAATATTATCTGGAACCGCCACTGTTTACTGTGCAAGACCCAACCTAAACACCTGGTGGCAGCAAACCACAAAACTTTGACATTGTTTATCTTGGTTAGCTCTTCCTCCCAACTTCAATTCCTTTTAAAACACTTGTGTAGAAGATTTAGAAGACAAATGTCTTCAGTTGAAAACCATGTGTTTTATGTCTCATCATACTTGTACATATGTAGATCTGCACAGTAGTGACATTTTCATGGACGAATGAATGAGGAACCCCTGCTTAGTGAATCGGTTCGACTGAATCATTTAAAAGAATCATTCCAAAAGAACAACTCGCGAATCAGTCATCACGACTCCACAGGCGCTCGCGCGTCTTCATGAGGAGAACAGGAGCATCTTTACTCACTTCTGCAGCAGTTTGTCAAACATTTCCTCTCAGGCTTGTTTCTACGACTTTTAGACTGCACAGCTTGCAGCCGCAAACACACTTGAGGATTAAAAACAACCGACACAAGAAGAAAATCCAGCGCTTTTACAGAGACTCACTCAGATATAAGAGGATGAAGTTATCATACACAGTTTTTCTCCTGCTGAATTTCTTATCATTGCACGACTGTAATGATGCAGCGCAGGTGAGTATACGTGCATATTTATAATTATATGAATATTTATGTAACATAATTAATAACTACAATATTCATATAATTATTAAATTATAATGTAGGCTAAATAATAAATTATATTAGTACATCTGGTAATCAAACAGTTGGTGGTTGCCATTGACTTCCGTAGTATTTCTTTTCCTACTGTTTGGTCCTTCAAAATTCTTCAAAATATCCTATTTTGTGTGCAACATAAGAAAGCAACTCATACAGGTTTGGAACGACATGAGGGTGAGTAAATGATGACAGAATTTTCATTTTTGGGTGAACTATCCCTTTAATGCATGACATCACCCACAACATCTGGCCTTGATCGTTCATGTGTGCCGCTTAAGCTAACGTTTAGTGGGAATGTTCCTTGCGATCGTTTTGGATGTCCAATATCTCCTCCATATATGAGCTTGTGTTTGAGCGAATCTGTAATTTAGGGATAACTGCTTGCCATCAAACTGTAACCAGGTGCTCGGTTGGTTGCTTAACTCATGCTCTTTTTTACCTCAGGGTTGTATGGATAAGCACCGAGTGATGGGGATACTGCGTCAAATGGAGAAGGTTCTTAAAGGACAGGAGATCCGATTCACAGAAGGGCTTCGGATTATGAAGTCCAAGCTCACCAACCTTCAGAACTCACTGTCCAAGCTCCCACAAGCAGAGCAGTCCTCATGTAAGTGCCGTAACACATGACACATTCATACATCTCGTTATATCAATAAACTCTGTGAATGTGAAGTTTCTTCTTTCCTAAATGTAGGCCTACATGTTTATTTCTGACTTACTGATTCCACATAGAGCAGGTGTGTTTGATGTCATTCAGGCATCTGGAGTTGCTGGCGTCATAGTTATAAAACATACATCAAAGCGGAATATGAAAGATGTAAATCTGCAGGCTGCTTCAGATTTGAGGCCAGCGCTGTTATTGTTTTATAACTAAAACGATCAAAAATAGCTTTCAGTAAAGCTGACATGTAAAAAAATAAATATTAGATGAAACACTAAAAACTTAAAAAACTTTAAATAAAAAAAACTGAATAAAATAATGTAGGATTTCACTCAGAAATTGCTAGTAAATTTGACAAATAATTACAAAAAGACTACGAGAAATTGAATTGAATTAAACATGAAATGTTCAAGTACAAAGACTAAAATAATATTTTCTTGTCAAATTTACTCTAATAATCGGTTTTATTTACAGCTTTTAAAAAAATCATTTTTTTTACCATTTAATAGAAATAATTGAAGTTTTGAATTGAAGTAATAAAATTACTAAAACTAAAACTGACATAAAATAAAATAAAGCTAAATAGAAGTATTAAAAATATAACATGAAATTACTAAGACGTAAACTAAAATTAAAATGCCAATTTACAATGTAAATATAAAAGCTATTATTTAATAAACACTGAAATAGTCTATAAATAATACAAAAAAAATTTAACAAATTAATAAATAAATATGCAAGCTGCCCTTAATTGGAAGATGACAATTCTTAAGGTGCAGTCACATTTAGCCTTGCTCTGCAAAATGTTGCTATTGACAATGGACAGTGGGCCTTTTTGCATTGAAAATGTACCTCAAAGTTCACTAATGTAAATGTGTACTTCAGTGTATTTCAGTATTTATCATTCAACTGAAAAACATTGAAAAAGTATTCATGCATTTCCAGTGAACATAAAAACTCTGCACCTCTAGCACCACCAAACAAAATTGAGAAAATATTGATTGTTCTCAAACAGGTCTCCAGACAGGTCAGAGTCAATGTTGCTGCATTAAGATGCAAACAGAGCATTGTTATGATAGTGTTTTTGCATATTAAGCTAGGATAGGAGAAAATATTTGACCACCGAAATAAAAAAAAGCTACACTTCATTTAAATATGGTGTCTGACTAAAGTCAGACTAAAGTCTTTTTTGTAATCAGGAAAATGAATTCTAAATGAAACTGAAGGGTCTTGAGTCATACACTTTCTTATGTATTTGCGCTCGGCAAAATGGGTTTGTTGAATGAAAGAGCTTGTGTCTGTTGGCGACAAAAGTATCCAGTCAATAAAAAATTTGTTTTTGGAAAGTAATTCTTGCATAGAGGATTTATTAATCCTAATAAACGAGCCTCAGAATTCCAACAAATCAAAGATCTCTTGAATTCTATTTGTATTTTATAAGCATGAAATGACTTCCTTCCTTTAAAATCAGTGGTCTGGCTGCTGCTTCAGGTTTGGAAAGGAGTCCAAGCTCTGGATTACGCTCAGCACTCTACAGATGATGTGAACGGGTCGGATGTGTAGCTGTGTCATTTGGCCCAAGCTACTGCACAGTTCATGAACCAGGGTTGGCGGCAGGAATGATCAAGAGTTACTTTGGCATTTGTAGCAGTCAGTGCTTGACAGGATCAAATTAAGTAGATTCTTTGAGAAACTCATCAGATTGTGAAATCTTAATTGTAAAAAAAAAAAGTATATATATATATATACACACACACACACACACACACACACCACTTTAAAAATATATATACTTTTTTTTATTAATAATCCAACATGCATTAGTTGTTTCCATATTACATAAGACAGATATTTTGGAGATATTTAAGATAAAAAAAAAACAGTATTACTTTAGTTTCAATCAGATACTATTATAGTTTTTATTGATATTTAATATATATATATATACTGTGTAATATATATACTTTTTTTTATTAATAATCCAACATGCATTAGTTGTTTCCATATTACATAAGACAGATTTTGGAGATATTTAAGATAAAAAAAAAAAACAGTATTACTTTAGTTTCAATCAGATACTATTATAGTTTTTATTGATATTTAATATATATATATATATACTGTATATATATATTAATTGTTTTACTTTACCTTGAAATTTTACGTTTTAGTAACTTTGTTGTGTGTTTTTGTCAAGTCTATAGTTTTCATTAATTTAATTTCAGTTTCAGTTATTTTAATGCAAAAAGGTCAACTAAATGAAAATGAGAAATATTGCCTTGGCAATACATTTTTTTAATATATATATTTTTTTATTTTAGAAAAGGTTTATTTTAATTAATTAAATTATTTATTTATTTAGGTTTTGGCTATACAAATTCTGGCTTTAACTAGAAAACTTAGAAATAAGAGGTTTTGATTATTTGAAGACATTTCAGAATTTGAATGTACAAAACATTTTTTCTTTTTTGGTGCATGGATTGGCACAGTTAAACGGAATGTATATTAGTAAAGAATATAGAATCAATTTCAATTTACCTTAATTAGCCATAAACAACATACAAGCACCAGGCCTTGTTTTTCTGTACGGTCCATGTGGTATTGTTCGCCTATTCTTAAGCTGTCTGTATAAAATGAGGCATTTCCCATCTTTTCCCATGACAGTTCCCACATTCAGTAACACATGCCTGCCTTCAAGCAATATATCCAAGCATTTCAGCATGCGTGATTCTGTCCCTCATGTAACCCTGTTCTACTCTGACATTTCCCTCTCTTTATGTCTTGTTTGTCCTCTCATGTCATCTTTAGCCCAATCCTCATGTCCACCTCTGGAATCGTTTTTTTAATACTCCCTTTTTATTTTAAAATATAATAGTATTATCACACTTTATTATTTTGTTTATTATTTTAATTGAAAAAACTAAATAAATAAAGTGAAATAATATTATTATCACTATTATTAATTTATTTTTTATAGTTATATATGTGCAGTGTGAGGACCAAACCAAATCTCCAGGTGCTCTTATGAAAACCAGGCTGAAAAACTTGATTATAGTATATAGTTTCAGCAATTTTTTATGTGCCTTTATCATTTTTATTTTTTTATATATTTCTGTTTAGCCTTATTTTTATTACATTTTTTGTTTTAATAATTTTAGTACTTCATCTTACGCTTATGCCAATGCAACATACTGTACTAATATTTATATTTAATCTCTGCTATATTTTAATGAACAAAAATTATTTTTAATAGTGTTAGTTAGCAATAACACTAATGTGAAGATAATTGAGGTGTAAGGTTCCTTATTTAAGGAAATAAGTACTCAAATAAATAAACCCAAATAAAATGGAATAAAAACTAGCAAAAAGACCCAAAAAACACAACAAAATAACTGAAACTTTAAATAATTAAAATAAAAAATGAATAAAAACTATAATAATATCTCAATGATACTAAAATAGCACTGCATAATTTTGTAGAAAAACAAAGGTAAAGCTTTATAAAAAGGTTTGTTAACATTAGTTAACTGCATTAGCTAACATGAACTAATAATGAACAGATTTATCTTTATAGTTATCGTTCTTGGTGTGAACGGGGCTTTAGAGTTCTGCATAATTAAGGGCGTGGCCACTTGAGTGACAGGTGCATTGCCGCTGCTGTCACCGCCGTCGAGCTAGGTGGGTGTGGCTTCAGCAACCAGCTCCCGCCTCTTTGCCCATTTTCGATTATCTGGGAGTGACGCGCAGCTAAGATGGCGACGGCTGGCTCCGCCTACTTTAGGCTTCAAAAACACTCTTCGGAAAACTACGGGTGACGTCACGGGCACTACGTCCATGTTTTTATACAGTCTATGCTCATCCCTCAGTTTTTGCCACTTAACCCTATGACTTTCACATGATACACATAAGGACACAAAATAAAGACTTTGTAACAGAAATAATGACAATTACAAACACAAAAGGAAAAAGTCCAGAACATATGCATAATGGTACACTCTAAAAAATGCTGGGTTAAATATAACCCATTGAAAATTTGTGTCTAAATGCAAAACATCTAAAAGGTACTAAAACATTTTCTTTATGCCAAATATAATTTATTTAAGTTTATATTTTAGTGTCATATTTCATCCCAAAATCAAAAGGAAAAAAAATTGAATAAGTAATAATAATAATAATAATAATAATAATAATGCATTTTGGCTATAGCATTTTAACATTTTCATAACAATTAAGCACATCACCCCCATTTTAATTAATGTAATGTGAAATATACTGTATATCTATATATTAATTATATTTATGTTTATTTTTAATTTGTTTATCCATAACAGGAATTATCTTCACTTATTTCTTAACGCAATTCTCTTCAGTTATTTCACATTAATGTTATTGCTAACTAACTTGTTTTTGTCAATTAAAATATAGCAGAGATAAAATATAAATATCAAATATAAAAATATATGTTATTATTACTATGTTGACTTGGCAACTAACTTAAAAAATGTAAGTTTGTAGTATTAAAATGATTTAAACCAAAACTGCAATAAAAATAAAGCTATAAATAGAAAAAGAAAAAAATATAAATGCACATAAAAAATTACTGAAACTAAAATAAAAAAATGAATAAGTACCATAATAGTGTATAAATAATACTAAAATAACACTGCTTCACATATCAGCTTTTGAGTCCTGAAAGTGCAAGTCTGTATATGTGTATGTATCCTTATCATAATGCATTGAACTGAACTCAAATTGTCTGAACAATCATCAGAATATTTTTGAAAACATTTACAAATCATCCAAACCAGATACCTGACCACAGCATTACTTACATCACTACTCTTTTATTACAGAAATAACCACAAATCAAATCAAAAGAATGTGGCTTCAGTGATCAATGCATCAGCTCTTTAGGGATCTCTCCCTTAACATGTGTGGCTAACAGCGCTCTTATCTGCTCATCTCTGGCTTCTTCTGTCCACGGGCCTCACAAGCATGCTCTCACTGTCCATTACAGATATTTACAGCAGCGGCAGTAAATTCCCATCCAGAGCAGATGGAGGTTGCCGCCCGCAGCTGCTGCAGACAGATGTTGCGTGGCACAGTAGCTGTTGTAAACCTAATCGACCTCACAAGCGTTTATGATTAGGGACACAAAGCTGCGCGCGGGATACTGTGAATGTGACAGCGGCCGTTTGAGAGAAGCCGCTCAACATTCCCTTCCTCCGTTTCGCCACTCCATTGTTAACATTCCAGCAGATCGGTTTCGTTTTACTGTGCCATTCTGTACAGGAAATAGGGAAGAATGTGGGCTCGTTTAACTCCTTCAACAATACAGGTGCTTTCCATGGACACATAATCCTCAGCTCTGTACAGACACGGAGATAAGGATCTGGGACATTTCAACTATTTCTTTCATTCGGCCTTAATTAGGATTGCAAATCCATGATAAAGACGGTATTCCAGATAATACAACAAGTGGCTTTACAAAACAAAACCATTCAGGGTGAATCTCATGAAACCAGACATGTTTGGGTCATTTTCACCCTAAAATCAAAAGAAGATTAAGATTTTTTTTTTGCTTTGTGACATTATTTTCATGGCAACCCCATAAAATAAAATTTAAAAAATAAATAAATAAATAAACATTTGATTATACATCATGGTAAAACATTTTTTTTTTACTGGCTTTAGTTTATGTTGAATTAAATCATCGATTTAAGTTGGATTAAAAAAAACTCATTGTATTACTTTTTTACTGTTCCATTTTTTTTTTCATAATAAATGCTATATAAAGACCTATAAAGTATAAATAATAAAAATTGCAAAAGATAAAACAGAATAAGCTTTACAAGCATCTCATGAAAACAAACATTCTTGGGTCATATTTCACCTCAAAATGAAAAGAAAATTGTTTGCACTGTGACATTATTTTCATGACAACACATTTCCCCCATTCTCATTACTGTAAAAATTATATCAAATATAATAGAAATTGTATATTTGCAAATGTATGTATATTGCATATTGCCTTTGATTTATGTTGCATTAAATCATTGATTTAAGTTGGTTAAATTATTGTATTGCATTTTTTTACTTTAATTTTAATTCCATCAAATATTACTATAAAATAATTATAAAGAAAAATGAAAATTGCAACAACAAAAAAACACCTACACACAACAGATCCGGGTTCATTATGGTAATATAAATGTCATATGATCCATTTTCTGTATGCCAAATATGTTTTAATTTCTCATTTTAAGATTAGTTGCATTAGGCCAACATTTATTTGGGATGATTTGCCATCAAAGCTGTTTGTTGTGAACTGTAACATCATTGATCTCAGCTCCTCAGAGAACAAACACTGGTCTGCACTATAAGGCTGTTGTCTTTCACACAGATGTGAGTGTGTGCGCCAGTAACCCGTGTCAGAACGGCGGCACCTGTGTGGAGGCTCTGAACCAGTACAAGTGCACCTGTCCACACAACTGGAGCGGCAGTCAATGTCAATACCAGACGCAGACAGGTCTGTGTTCCTTTAATCTCTTCTGTATGTGTCAACGGCAGACGGAACATATTCATTAGGGGTGGGTGATATCACAAAAATATCATATCACGATTTTTTCAGGAAGGAACCCACGATCTTACCATGATTCTTTTTCATGTTCGTTTTTTAAAGGGATCGTTTTTCTGTCATCATTTATTCCCTCTCAAGCTGTAGCAAATCTGTATGAGTTTCTTTCTTCTGCTGAGCACAAAAGGAAGATATTTTGAAGAATGTTGGTAATCAAACCAATCCATTGACATCCATAGTATGAAAAAAAAATAGTATGGAAGTCAATGGCTAACAGCAACTGTTTAGTTACCAATCAGTCTTGGGGAAAGTTAATACACTGCAATATTGCGTTACTCCCTAAAAAAGTAACTAATTAAATTACTTTTATGGAAAGCAATGCGTTACGTTACTTTTGCGTAACGTTTTCTCATCTGGGCTGGGCTTGCTTCTTTATTGCTTGCTTTTGATATAAAAAAGTTATCTTTTTGGCAAATGTAAAAGCATTTGAAAAAGTGAAATGGATACGGAAATGTCAATTAACGTCTGTACAGTAGAGGGCGCAGCTCAAACTAATGCCATTCTGGATTGCATTAACAATAGGACACAGGAGAAGAAAGTAAAAAAAACAACAAATAGTGATGGGAAGTTCGGATCATTTTACCGACTCGGACCTTTGAGTCTCGTTCAGCAAAATGAACAAATCTTTTTTCGAGTCATTTCGTTCATTTTAGCTAAATATAATTAAAATGTTACGTGTTACTTCCCTAACACGTCTACTACTTACGCAAACGTTGATCACACTACAAACAATACAAAACTGCTATAAGAAACAGAAAAGATGAATTCATTGTTTACCTGGGTCTTCAGTCTATGATTAGCTCACTTCACCTCTTATCTGACAAGTCTTCGGGTTTGAGTCGTTCGTTCATCACGTGACAGCCCCATACGCTTTAAACCAATGCAGTCTGAGCCGGAAAGAGAATTGATTAGTTCATCTCTCGAGTCTTTCGAATCGTTCGTTCTTTTGTGACAGCATTGAGAAATTAGTTCATTTACAAGCTTCCTTACAAACGGGTGCATAGTTATTATTATTATTATCATCATTATTATAATTATTATTTACACTTACAGTTACGTGATGCGTTTCTGGTCTCAAATTGTAGCTTTTTACTTCTTACAGTTTATAAATGTGTGACTTTCTGTCATTATGGTTCTTTTCCATAACACTGAATGTTGTAACAAAGGAAATAAAGAGTTGGTTATTATTATTAAGTCTCTTTCCGGCTCAGACTGCATAGGGTAAGCTTATGGGACTGTCACGTGATGAACGATCGACTCGAAAAACCCGAAAACTCAAGAGATGAACTAATCAATTCTCTTTCCGGCTCAGACTGCATTGGTTAAACTTATGGGGCTGTCACGTGATGAACGAACGACTCGAAAAACCCGTAGACTCGAAACAGGTGAACTACTTGACTAATTCCAGTACAGAACCTATAGGATGTTGTGCATGCGCGACTGAACGAATCACTCCCCGAGACGAGTTATCTGCCCACAAATGTTATGTTTATCTAAAGTCATTTTTGATTATTAGTATGGTTTTTGTAAGCACTCACTCCTGTTTTCTCTCAACATGGGGACAGGAGATCTGTCAGTCAATAAATTGGAAAACAAAGTACCTGCTGTTACTTATTTGAAAAAGTAACTCGTTACTTGTAATGCGTTACCCTCAACGCTGTTACAAACATTCTTTGATTAGTTTGATTAGAAGAATGTGGATTTCCTCAGGCTAACAATACTAAATCGTCAGATCACCCACCCCTAATATCAACCACACATTCATGCCTAAAAATGAAAAACCCACTAATCATTAGTGGCGACTTTTGCATGTGCAACACACATTTTCAGCAGAAAAGGCAAAAAATACTTAAAACTTAAAAATAGCAGCTGCTAGTAGTGAAGCATGACACACTTCACCTTTAACCTGTGTTCCGGTCTATAAATGAAAGCATGCGTGTGAATGTTTGTGTGTGTGTTTGTGGGAGGTTAAGCCTCCTCTTTTCCATTTCCTCTCTCTGTCTCTGTCAGCGCCTCCGGAGTGGAGCGTCATGAATGACCCGGCCTTCAGCCGTAAGCCTCGCTGTGCCAAAGTGGACCGAGCTCAGCACTGCAGCTGTGACGCTGGCTTCCACATGAGTGGCACCTCAGACAACAGCATCTGTCAGGGTGGGTCCATCAAACAACCACATGTGACCCAGTTTTAAGTAGCACAGGACTTTTGCATGTGCAACACACATTTTCAGCAGAAAAGGCAAAAAATACTTAAAACTTAAAAATACCAAATGCAGCTGCTAGTAGTGAAGCATGACACACTTCACCTTTAACCTGTGTTCCGGTCTATAAATGAAAGCATGCGTGTGAATGTTTGTGTGTGTGTTTGTGGGAGGTTAAGCCTCCTCTTTTCCATTTCCTCTCTCTGTCTCTGTCAGCGCCTCCGGAGTGGAGCGTCATGAATGACCCGGCCTTCAGCCGTAAGCCTCGCTGTGCCAAAGTGGACCGAGCTCAGCACTGCAGCTGTGACGCTGGCTTCCACATGAGTGGCACCTCAGACAACAGCATCTGTCAGGGTGGGTCCATCAAACAACCATATGTGACCCAGTTTTAAGTAGCACAGGCAGGCCAGGATTGGCTAATCAGGAGCACCGGGAGGATTCCCGGTGGGCCGGTCTATTTTTTGGCCGTGAGGGCCGGTGTTGTCATGCCACTGGGTTGAACTATGCTGTTTCTAGGCTGCCTGCACTCATAGCAGCCCCACTGTTTTTATTTATTTTCTCGCAGGCCATATTATTATTTTCACCAGATCATATCAGTAACAAATACTCAACTGATAACTAAAATAGACTGTGATAACTAATCATTATTTTTGCGCAAATCGTTGTTTTATTTGTGAACATAGACGTTTGAAGAAAGCTTTAAGACCAAGCGGAATTCTCTGCCGGCTGCTCCCGCTTCACAGCGAGCGGGACTCGCGTTAACTCCACCCTTCACCATCCGCTTTTTTATTTTACTAAACCAGTTTGGGCGAATGCAAACAACTTATTGATCATGAGCCCAACATTTAGCACGGCAGGAAAACATTGAATCTACCTGAGGGAAGACGTCTTTCATTGGAAGTTAATGCTATTAAATAGAGAGGGGAAAAAATGCATTGCAAAAAAATAAATAAATACTTCTTGCGTAGGCTATTCTTAAACTTGGACCTCATTATTGAAGTAAAATCCAAGCACCAGAAGCGGCCCACACACACTAAAGTTTTCTTTAATTGAAAAATATGCATTTTCATTCATTCAAAGGCTATAGTTGCAATAATATTTTAGATCAAAACTTGAAGTGCTATTGTTTTAAAAAAAATGCTTGATTGACTGACGTTTCATAGACCTTCAGTTGTTACATTTTCAAATTTCATGCCATTTGTAATTTCACAGTATTTTCACCTCCTCAATTACACGTGTGAAGTCACAATTCTATAATGGTGCAATTTACTCAGGCCAATGACATTTTTTGTATGACATTTAAAATTATTTTTAAAATAATTGTACATAGCCTAAATAGGTTAAGCAAAACAATTGTGATTATTTCTGAGAACTTTTTAAATGCAGGCAGACTTAGGCCTACATTATGGTACAGTACAAATATTTGGAACATCCCTTATCCTGTCCCTTATTTTCTACAAGAATAAACGCTATTTTCTTAAAGAATAAGATAAATAATCACAATTGTCCCTTATTTTCCATTTCTTATGTTAATCGGCAATGATGACGTAATTATCTTTTGACTCCACTGACAGCGGAACTTTGCTCAAAAAAAATAAAAAAGTCATTGTTGGAGATATGCGAGCAAAAAATAATAGATAAAAAAATGCATAATAGAAAGTGCAAAGGCGGTCACAAACAAAACAAAAAAAACAAAGTGGGCCGGTCTAAGGCATGAAACTCCAGAGCTGAAAATGAGTCCCACTCCGGCCCTGAGCACAGGTATATTTGTTGCAACAGCCAACAATACATTGTATGGGTTAAAATTATCGATTTTACTTTTATGCCAAAAATAATTCGGATATTAAGTAAAAATCATGTTCCATGAAGATATTTTGTAAATGTCCTACTGTAAATATATCAAAACTTAATTTTTGACTAGTAATATGCATTGCTAAGAACTTCATTTGGACAACTTTAAAGGTGATTTTCTCAATATTTTGATTTTTTGAAGCCTCAGATTCCAGATTTTCAAATAGTTGATACATACATCAATGGAAAGCTTATTTATTCAGCTTTCAGGTGATGCATACATCGCAATTTGCAAATATTGACCCTTATGACTGGTTTTGTGCTCCAGGGTCACATATAAGGATTCTAGTAGAGATCTCAGGATGCATTAAAGCAATAAGCCGCTGGAGGCTGTCTATTACTAGTAAATGCTAAATGTATTATTAACAGTAATTATAAGATGACACTTAATAAGGGCCACTTTTACATGTCAGATCAGGTTAAAATAACTCTTTTAAGTCAGAGATTTTCAAACTTTTTTTATCAGCCAAATCCCTTTGACCTAAAATATTTACATATTTTAAACATTTAATATTATAAACAGTTAACATTTCAATAATTTAACAACACATTTGCATGTTCACAGTTCTCGATTAATGGTCATATGACATGTAGGTAAACAAATAAAATATTCCATATTTAGTAAGTGTTTCATTTTGATTGTTTTCTTTAATTATTAATTTTTAATTATAATTTGACATGTTTTTTTTAATGATTAGCTTAATTATTAACAGTAGGGTACAACAAGCACATTTATTAGGCACATTTTACAATTTTCAGTTTTGTTCAAGGTATTTAAATGATTTTTTAAAGGCACAATAATTGATAAGGTGCATTATTATAAATAAATAACTGACTTTTCCATTTGTTGACATGACATTGTTTGATTCTGATGGTGTTAACATCACCAATCAAACCAGCATATTTCAAATTATGATATTAATAATATCATATAATGGAAAATCATATTTATTGTTACTACTATAAAGCCATATTAAATTATTATGGGATCTCTTTCAAAACTTTCAGAATCTTTACCTTTTTTAAAAAAAAAATCTGTATTTTTAGTGATTGATTTAGACAAGTATTAACTTAGATGTTATGCAAAACATTACTTCAGGATTTGTATTTGTATCAATGCATGATTTTTAAACAAAACAAACCACTTTTATGATTTATTTTCCCACAAAATGTGTTGTGCATTTTCTGCAATTATACACTATATGAGTAGTTTTCCTGTAAGGGATAGTTCACCCAAAAATGAAAATTCTGTCATTAATTACTCGCCCTCATGTCGTTTCAAACCCGTAAGACCTTCGTTCATCTTCAGAACACAAATTAAGCTATTTTTGATGGAATCTGAGAGCTGTCTGACCCTGCATAGACAGCAACACAACTGAAATGTTCCCAGGTCCAGAAACGTAGCAAGGAGATCTGTAAAATAATCCATGTGACATCAGTGGTTCATCCGCAATTATACAAAGCTACGAGAATACTTTTTGTGCACAAAAGAAAAAGAAAAAACAACTTTATTCAACAATTCGTCTCCTCCGGATCACCCCGGTGTCATTTTGGAGAATATCCACAGAACGTAAATAACGTATGCTGTTCTGTGTCAGCTGCGTCATGCCGAAGTATTCTCGTAGTTTCGTATAATTGCGGTTGAACCCCTGATGTCACATGGATTATTTTACAGATCTCCTTGCTACGTTTCTGGACCTGGGAACATTTCAGTTGTGTTGCTGTCTATGCAGGGTCAGACAGCTCTCAGATTCCATCAAAAATATCTTAATTTGTGTTCTGAAGATGAACGAAGGTCTTACGGGTTTGAAACGACATGAGGGCGAGTAATTAATGACAGAATTTTCATTTTTGGGTGAACTATCCCTTACAGGAAAACTACTCATATAGTGTATAATTGCAGAAAATGCACAACACATTTTGTGGGAAAATAAATCATAAAAGTGGTTTGTTTTGTTTAAAAATCATGCATTGATACAAATACAAATCCTGAAGTAATGTTTTGCATAACATCTAAGTTAATACTTGTCTAAATCAATCACTAAAAATACAGATTTTTTTTTTAAAAAAGGTAAAGATTCTGAAAGTTTTGAAAGAGATCCCATAATAATTTAATATGGCTTTATAGTAGTAACAATAAATATGATTTTCCATTATATGATATTATTAATATCATAATTTGAAATATGCTGGTTTGATTGGTGATGTTAACACCATCAGAATCAAACAATGTCATGTCAACAAATGGAAAAGTCAGTTATTTATTTATAATAATGCACCTTATCAATTATTGTGCCTTTAAAAAATCATTTAAATACCTTGAACTATTTTTGATGGAATCTGAGAGCTGTCTGACCCTGCATAGACAGCAACACAACTGAAATGTTCCCAGGTCCAGAAACGTAGCAAGGAGATCTGTAAAATAATCCATGTGACATCAGTGGTTCATCCGCAATTATACAAAGCTACGAGAATACTTTTTGTGCACAAAAGAAAAAGAAAAAACAACTTTATTCAACAATTCGTCTCCTCCGGATCACCCCGGTGTCATTTTGGAGAATATCCACAGAACGTAAATAACGTATGCTGTTCTGTGTCAGCTGCGTCATGCCGAAGTATTCTCGTAGTTTCGTATAATTGCGGTTGAACCCCTGATGTCACATGGATTATTTTACAGATCTCCTTGCTACGTTTCTGGACCTGGGAACATTTCAGTTGTGTTGCTGTCTATGCAGGGTCAGACAGCTCTCAGATTCCATCAAAAATATCTTAATTTGTGTTCTGAAGATGAACGAAGGCCTTACAGGTTTGGAACAACATGAGGGTGAGTAATTAATGACAGAATTTTATCCCTTTAAGGTGTGCCTTTAGCCCTGTTGTAGCTTCTATTTAATTTTCTTGTCTCATTTCCTTTCTGTCACTGTCTCTTGTCAAATCCACACATGTAATCACATGTTGTGCCCAGATGTGAATGAATGTGAGGTGTATAAGGCTGACCGTGGAGGGCCTCTGTGTGGCCACGCCTGTGTAAATGTCCCGGGATCGTACCACTGCTCCTGTCCCACCGGATATAAGCTGCTCGCTGATGGACGAAGCTGTGAGGGTGAGTGAGAAACGCTCACACACTCTTAAATATAAGGGTTGAGAATAGTGGTGTTTTACAGCCTGTTGTCTCAGGACAGTAAGAAATAGTTCAACTAAAAATAAATGTTTTTTACTCACCCTCATGTCGTTCCAAACCCGTATGACGTCTTTGCTGAAAGGCCATCTATTTTTAGTGGTTTGAATGTGAATCTGAAAAAGCGACAGGCAGGGCATACTCTGTGAAAGACATTTGGACACCTTACAAAGACCTGCAGGGGTAAATGAAGTGGGTAGATGAAGACAAATAGTGAGGATGTGGAAGAGAAGTGCTTGAGTCTGGTTTTCGCTGGCGGGTGAGCGTGATTTCACCAAGTACAACATGTTCCTGGATCAACATCCTTGTTGATCCTGGAACAACATTCCAATCAACCAATCAGAATTGAGATATAACTTTTCAGGAAATATCAGTTTTAGGCTTACAATCAGGGTTAGGTGCTTGTCTTACTTGGCAAAATCACGGTGACCTTGGCTGGTGAGTCTTAGGAACATTTGGAGAACAAAAGTGAGAGAGATCTTTTGGCTGATCATCCAGCAGTGTTGATATGAATCAATCGTGCAAATAAAATAAAACTATATAAAAAAATTAAACAATTTCAGTAGTAGCATGAATAAATAAATACATACATACATACATACTGTACATACATACATAAAGTATTTGACCTCACTAATGAACTCGATTTTCGTGACCCATCCCTAATTTTTATTTAGTGTAAGTTTGATTTTTAAATTAAAGGGTTAGTTTACCCAAAAATGAAAATTAGCCCATAAATTACTCACCCTCAAGTCATCCTAGGTATATATGACTTTCTTCTTCCAGTCAGAGTTATATTAAAAATTATCTTTGATCTTTCAAACTGTTTAATGCCACTCAGTGGGTGTTGCATGCATCAGTCCAAAAGAAGTTAAATAAAAATCGCCCATCCATAAAAAAAAGTGCCTCACACGGCTCCGGGGGGTGAACAAAGGCCTCCTGTAGCGAATCGATGCATTTTTGTAAGAAAAATATCCATATTCAAAACTTAATAATCACTTTAATGTAGCTTGCGCCAACAGTTGTACACGGAAGCAGCTCCGGGAGGATGATGTAAGATGTCGGCGTTGCGCATGCGCCGGTGAGTCTCGTGAAAACCAACGTTTGTTTACAGGAGCAAAGGAAGCAAAGTTTCCTTACTTTAGCAAAGGAAAACCAGTCTCCTCTTGGCTTATATCGAAATCCTCCGACATTCTTCTTTACAAATCCTCGTTTTGTACTTCTAATAAGTGGCCGTTGTTTTGTTTTGATCTCTCCGCTGCGCTTCCTTCCAAGTTCGTCACTTCTGAGCGGCGCATGCGCAGCGCTGACCTCATACGTCATGCTCCCGGAACTGCTTCTGTTTACAACAGTGAGCGCAAGCTAGATTCAAGTGATTATTACGTTTTGAATATGGATATTTTTCTTACAAAAACGCATCGATTAGCTACAGAAGGCCTTTGTTCACCCCCCGGAGCTGTGTGAGACACTTTTTTTTTTTTGGATGGGCGCTTTTTTTTTAACTTCTTTTGGACGGATACATGCAACACCCACTGAGTGGCATTAAACAGCTTGAAAGATCAAAGGCCATTTTTAATATAACTGCGACTGGATTCGTCTGAGGAAGAAAGTCATATATACCTAGGATGACTTGAGGGTGAGTAATTTATGGGCTAATTTTCATTTTTGGGTGAACTAACCCTTTAAGGGGTCTTGTTGTATTGTTTGTATGTATTTTCAAATTTAAAGCTGTTCATTTGTTTGTGTCTGCCACGCAGTGTTGCCAAGTTTTGGAATTACTACTTTAACACTGTTCCCGCGGGTTGTTCTTCAGGTCCGCAGGTTGAAGCGACCCCAATAACATGATATTTATCCCCTGAGATGCGAATTTTACCAGGGGAACCCAGCAGAAAAGCGTGTATTACACCCCCCGAAACGCAATTGGGCTAGTTTTGAGTATAAATTAGGCGGATTTTGGTGTGAAAACCTGGCAAACTTGCTGCCAGGTTTTCAAAAAAGCAAAAAATAATATAAGCAAATAATAATATCATTCTGATATGTTTTGTATTTCCTTCCTGAACAGTTTAATTGCTGTTTGCTACTTTGTATTAGTAACTTCTTGTGTAGCCAACTATGATTTTAAACAGCAGATTACCTTTCTAGTTGAAATTCTGATTATCTTAAAATTGTAAATAAAATAAAATATGTATAATTTTATTCTAAGATAATCAGAATTTCAAATAGAAAGTAATCTGTAATTTCTTCCACCTGGCCAATGAAACCCTTTCTATAAAACAGAAAATTAAAAAAAATATTAAATTAAATACAAAAAAATTATAAATAAATTGTTTTATTTTATTCTGCCAGGTGGAACAAATTTAGCTTTAATACAGGAGTTTCAGGAGTTAACTATGTGTTTATAGAGCAGATAATTTTCTAGTTGAAATTATGATTATTTTAGAATACAATTATAAATAAAATATTTATCATGTACATTAATAAAAAAAACTGAAAATAATCTGCGAGTAATTTCTTACAATTGGTGAAGGAAAATAATAAATAAAATAAAATAAAAAGCATTTAATTGGGCAGGTGAAAGAAATGTGGCTTGATTACAAATGTTTGTATATATACAGCAAATAGACGGTAACAAAGATAGCAATATACAGTATACATAAAATAAGGTATGAAGGCAATATGCAAATACTAATAATTCATGCATGTAAAATTTATGCAAATAACTTGCATGAACTTGTAAGTAATGTTATGGAGTGTTGGATGTGCAATGACATGGGTCCATACAGAAAATGTAAACAAGAGATAGAAATTTTAAATAACAATAATTCTAGAAATATATTTTAAGGACACATCAACTTTAGATCAGGGCTATTCAACTAGCTTCATTTGAGGGCCGGATTATGGAACTGAAGATTTGAAGGGGACCAAGGGGGTGGGGGCCATCCCGATCTCTTTCTGGGGGGGCCTATAAAATTTGAAATTAAATTGAAATGCATATTCAACAGTAAAATGAACTAATATTACCAACACCAAGATCTATAAAAGGTTAACACAGTGCTGTCTGTCAATCAATTTAAAAATTATGATTTAATCCCACATTTTCCTGTAATTAATCATGATTCATCGCATATTTATATATGTATATTGTCATAATTTCACACTGAACCTCCAAATTAATGTAGAAACAACATAAAGATTGTATATTTTAAATACGTGTTTAATGGCATCTTTTTACTAAGTAGCCTATTGTTAATGAAGTACTGATACCAATACTGCTACTGCTGTCTCTACTAAATGCACTTTCTTTCAATTTTACCTATTAATTATAGCCATTCAACATTACAGTATAATTGAAAGCCATTATTTTTAACATTTAATAGGCTCTGAAATATATAACATCTTTCAATTTAAGTGATTTTAAAACAATCTTCACATAAACTATAAATTGTATATGCATAAACGATATTGGTTCATTTGTATTCAAGCTACAAAGGTTAATCAGAGACTAGAGCAGTCGAGTGATTTCTCTTTTTCTTTTGTTCTTCGATTTACATCAATGACAGACTTCAGCGCTGTCTCTTTAAAACCTGATGACGCGGATCTGACACATCCGATTTTCTCCAAACTCTTTACGGTCATTTAAGACTTTGTAACCCAGTTAAGACCAAGTTTATGAGGTAACTCGCCAAAACCGTGCATTTTGACATAATTGTGTGTGTTTTTGTCAGTTGAAGCGCTACTGGCACGCTGTCTGAATTAGTGCAAAAACATCTGAAGGCATATACTTCTCCCTCGGGCCGGATGAAGATGATTGGTGGGTCGGATTTGTAACAGGTGATGCTGTTACAATGATGATCTAACACATAAATCACGTCTACCATCACAGAACTGTACGCAAATGCCCTCATGTAGCCAGCATTTCAAACTCTCTATTTCAAACTCTTCTCTTCCACTCTATTATTCCTCCCCTCTCTGACTCTAATGTCTCCCTCTCCTCCGGGCGCTCCAGATGTGGATGAATGTCTTACACAACAGCACAACTGCAGCCGTGGCACCACCTGTATCAACACCGGAGGAGGTTTCCAGTGCGTTAACCCCGAGTGTCCACGCTCGCACGGCAACGCCAGCTACGTCAAGACATCACCTTTGTGAGTGAGCATACAGCACACCTGATGACCTACTGCATACAACTCCACTGGAACCTGCTTTACTAACGAGTAAACGCCACACAGGAGACTTGACAACTGATTCCAATAGAGCAGGTTACTAAACTAGCAACACTACTCTAAGAATACAATGCATGCACAAATATAGGCTAAAATAGTCACATTTTAAAGAGATAAAACCCATTTAATACATATTGATAGTTTCAACTATTTCTGAGTGATAAAAGATAGAGAATCATAGAGAAAAGTAGAGTGTGATTTGACTGGATCATGAAAAGTGAATGGAAATCTGAAAAAAATGTGAAATGTGAAAAAGGACATACTAAGTCATAATTATGGGATAAAAGTTAGAATTATGATATACTTTAGCAAACACACATGTCTGTCTTCTGGAGTCCTTCACAGCACTGGGGGCCATGAATGCCTCCTCTAAATCACTTGCCACTTGCTTGCGGTGTAATTAAAGTGGGTTACAACCATTTGTTTTTCTTGCATGACACTTTTATGCTTGTTTATTATGCAAGCTGTTTTTAAGCTGTGAATGGGCCCTTTGTGTCCTGCTAAATGCAAGAAGCTGTGATCTGTTTAGTAAGTCACTAAACCTTACAGGCACACATGCAGCTTGGTAAAAGCACCAGAAATACATAAAAGCATAACTGTGGCATGGTTCATGTTAGGATGCTATTCATATTGAATATATGAATACTGAAAATAAACTGTAAGGAGATTGATTACTGTTAAACGTCTGCCTACCTTTTAAGCAGGTACTGGAAGTGTTTTCAAGGTTTAGCTGGTTAGCATGGTCCAGTTAGTCTCTGCTGGTAGATGCTGGTAACTACACTACCTGGAAGCAAAAATATTTCAGTCATTTAAATACAGAAGCCTATTTCCGCCACATAAGGGGGACAAAAAACATTCTTTACCAAATGTTTTGCACAATTATTATTGTTAGATTAAAATGTGTAATTATGAGAGAAAAAGTCCAAATTATTAAAATTATTAGAACAAAATTATGCAATTATTAGAAACAAGTCATAAATACGACATACTAAGTCATAATCATGAGATAAATGTTGGAATTATGACATACTAAGTCAATTATAAATCAAAATTATGAAATGTAAAAATGTACATACTAAATCATGATTATGAAATGAAAACAGAATTGACATAGTAAGTCATAATTATGAGATAAATGTCAGAATTATGACAAAGCAAGTCATGATAATAAATCAAAAGTGTGACAGAAATCTAAATTATGAGATTAAAAGTCAAAATTATGACATACTAAGTCTCATAGTTGTGACTTTTCAATTTCATCTCAATTATGACTTAGATTGTTTAATTTGGATTTATCTCATAATGACATACAACGTCATACTTATGAGATAATTCAGAATTATGACATACTAAGTTATAATTATGAGTTGAGTCAGAATTATGATTTGCTAAGTCAGAATTATGAGATAAAAGTTAGAATTATGACACACTAAATCAAAATGATTAGATACTAAGTCAGAATTATGAGATAAGTCAAAATTATTAGATACTAAGTCATAATTATGAGATGAGTCAGAATTATGACATGCTAAATCAGAATTATGAGATAAAAGTTAGAATTATGAGATACTAAGTCAGAATTATGAGATGAGTCAGAATTATGAGATAAAAGTTAGAATTATGACACACTAAATCAAAATGATTAGATACTAAGTCAGAATTATGAGATAAGTCAAAATTATTAGATACTAAGTCATAATTATGAGATGAGTCAGAATTATGACATGCTAAATCAGAATTATGAGATAAAAATTAGAATTATGACATACTAAGTCAGAATTATGAGATAAAAGTTAGAATTATGACACACTAAATCAAAATTATTAGATACTAAGTCAGAATTATGAGATAAGTCAAAATTATTAGATACTAAGTCAGAATTATGAGATAAATCAAAATGATTAGATACTAAGTCATAATTATGAGATGAGTCAGAATTATGGCATACTAAGTCAGAGTGATGAGATAAAAGTTAGAATGATCACATACTAAGTCAGAATTATGAGATGAGTCAGAATTATGACATGCTAAATCAGAAGTATGAGATAAAAGTTGAAATTGACACACTAAGACATTATATTAGTCAGAATTATAAGTCATAATTATGACATACTAAGTCATTAGGAGTTCAAATTTATGTAATCAGTCAAAATTGTCAAAACATGTAAAAATCATCATTTTGACTTCAATTTGATCTCAATTATGGCTTAGTATGCCATAAGTTTGACTTTATATAATTATGATGTAGTATGTCAATTACATTTTTTTATCTCATAATTATGACATTAAATGACAAAGAATTATTTTTTCTTATGCAGTGGAAAGGGGCTTCCAAAAGTAGCCGTGGATTCTGAAAGATTCTTTTGCAAGCAACATATAAATCACCAATATTTCATTATTTAATAGTATTTAGTTTTTTTATCGTTTTTTCATTTGTTTTTTACAATGTTTTTTTCATTCTTAAAAATGTGTAATGGGATAATCACTAAAGTAAAGTTCTTGGGACTGTGTGGGTGTTCTTGCTTATTAAAGTAGGTTTTGGAACAGATCTATAGTGTTTCAAGCTCAATTAATGATGTAAAGTACTTTTTTGCCCTCTACCGCAGCCAGTGTGAAAGGAATCCCTGTCCCATGGAGAGCCGCTCCTGTCAATTTGCCGCTAAGACCATTTCTTACCACTACCTGTCTCTGCCGTCCAACCTGCGCACCCCGGCCACGCTGTTCCGCATGGCCACCGCTACGGCTCCGGGTCGGCCGGGTCCGGACAGCCTTCGCTTTGGCATCGCAGGCGGAGGTGACGCCCGCAGCATGTTCGTGATGCAGCGCTCAGACCGTCAGACCGGAGAGCTGATCCTGGTCCAGCCGCTGCGAGGCCCGCAGGAGTTCAGCGTGGAGGTGGAGATGTCCGAATACGCCGACCGCACCTTCCAAGCCAAACATCTGGCGCGGGTCCACCTTCTGATTTCACCCTACGAGTTCTGAAGAGGCAGGTCGCTGTCTAAATTGAGTGTTGATGTTTAGACTTGAAGAGGAAAGAATGTTTTCCTTGTTGCTAAAGCTGAATGATAGAGTTGTTCTCAGATGCGGCTCGATTTTGAAGCAGGGATAGCGCAAAACTGTAAGATATGGAAAGTACAGTGGAAAGTCACGCTTATGTGGAAGTGAAATAATGATTTTTATGGCAATAACTAAAGAAAACAGTTGATACATTTGTGGTTAAAGGTGAAGTGTGTAATTTTTCACTTTCTCTTGATACTGTTTAATAAACTTCTGTGCAGGATCAATCAAATTTAAAACTTTTAAAGACATTTTAAGAGCTGCACAATGAAATGAATGCTGAGTGTCCAAACAGAACAAACCACAGATTATTTGACTAATTAAAGCACTCGCATTTATTTAATTAAATTATATCCATTTAAAGTTTAATAATCACATTAGGCTATTTTATGTCCTCTTTTTCCATCCACAAATTTAAGACATTTTAAAATGATAATTAAGACTTTAGTTTTTTTTTACTTTAAATTTAAGCCTTGACACTTTTGCCCTGTTCGTCTGTCAGTCAACTTCTAGCTCAACCAGTGGCGTGAGTTTGGGGGCGGGACTACCTGTTTTTTTTTTTACGTTACATCACAAAAATGACACACTTGACCTTTGACAAACCATTTCACAAATCTCATTCAAAAATTACAGTAATAGCCAAATGTGAAACATACAAGGTTGTTTCTTTTAAATGTGTTTAACAATATAGGTTGATTCAAGTGGAAAATAGTAAAGTGAAGTGTATAATGGATATGAAAGGAAAAACGAGTTGCGAATGCTGGGAATGAACTACGACGACAGCTTTATGATTGGTTAGGTCAGTCAGTAAGGAGGAGAACATGGGATCGTGTTTAAGAGCTAAAGAAGGAAAGTCTAAAGACACAAGAATCAATTCAACCTGATGAACAGAACAGTAAGTTGTTCTTTTTTTGTTTCCTTCTGCTTCAGTACATGGTTAAATTCAGCTTGTAAATATGCACTGCTGTCAATCAACGGGGTTCAAACAGACTGAAATTAACTACAGCACTTAGCATGAGAGAAGTGTCTATTTTTAATTACTGTTCGTTTATGTTTGTTGGATGTTTTATAATAAGAACAACAAAATCTGAACGTTGCATTTTTTGTAATTTTGCATTTGAATATGATATATTGCTCTTTGCATCTGTCGGTTATATCAGGTTTGGTATCTAATACTGAAATCAACGGCTGTTTGTTTCACACATTATTGCATTCAACTTCTGTCTTGCACACACATGTTGAATGTTTCTTAATTAAAGTCAGAAATGCACTTTTTTTCAATGTCTTTTGGTTTCTTTGATCTTACACAGAATGATCTGCCGATTTACAATCAATTAATCAAAATGAAAACAAAGTGATCTGACACTGGCATTATTCATCTCTTTGATCTCTGATGTTGTTTTGATGCAGGACATTCCAAATTTGAATTTGAATTCATTCTTAAAGGGACAGATCAGTTATATTTTGAACCTATTTAAATATAAACCTCATTTTTGTTTCGTGCAAAATGAGAGCGAGTAAATGTTGATAAAAAATTATTTTATTTTTTTTGGTGAACTGTGCCTTTAAGTTAATTAGCATATACACTACCATTCAAACGTTTAGTGTCGGTACCATTTTTTTAAAGAAATGAAAATCTTTTCAGCAAGGATGCATTAAAGTGATCAAAAGTGACAGCAAAGACATTTATAATATTACAAAAGACTTCTATTTCAAATAAATGCTTTTTTTTTTTTTTTTACTTTTCATCAAAGAAACAAAAATATGAAGCAGCACAACTGTTTTCAACATTGATAATAAATAATAAATTTTTTCTTGAGCAGCAAATAAGCATATAAGAATGATTTCTACAGGAATACTGGAGTAATGATGCTGAAAATTCAAATTTGCATCACAGGAATAAATTACATTTAAAATATAATGAAAACAGTTATTTAAATGGTAATAATATTTCACAATATTACTGTTTTTATGGTATGGCTTATCAAATAAATACAGCCTTGGTGAGCAGAAAAGACACCAAACTTCCACTTCGGGGTGGAACGATCTCATATTTTAGTTTAAATGAGTACTGAAAAGGCAAACATCTTCAGAATTCGCTGGTTAGTCATCAAAATCGATTGTCGAGTTAACATGTGACCAGTAATATGACCTTAAGAAGAATGCAAGGAACAATAACAATCAGGAAACTAAAGAGTATTTCTCAGTGTTTGTCAGTGACGTGTTTGCTAGAAAGAGAAATGGACACTAGTGGGCCTAATGTTGAGCACATGTGGCTGTCCAGTGCCTTTTCTCTCAGAAGATCAAAAGAGCCACAAGCTTCCTGAAGGCAGCACATGTTCAAAGGACGGTCGGGTGCTGTTTTAAAATGACAATGCACTTCAACTGTAAAATCTTTGCATAATCACTGAGAAACAGCTCGACTCTCGGTCCAACGGCCCAGTTTGAAGCTTTCAAAAGGTTTTAAGTACAATGAGATTTGCCAGAGAAAACAAAATGGCCCAAGACATAATTTAACTTTCACTACAAGCAATAAACATTGACATTTTGCAGGAAGGAGTGATAAGCAAAGAAAGTAGCTAAGTAACTATTTACTCACCCTCATCTCGCTTCAAACGTGCATGGCTTTCTTCTGGGAAACACTGATGGTTTTCAGAAATGTTCACACTGCTCTTTTCCATATACTGAAAGCATACACTTTAAAAAATGCTGGGTTAAATACAACCCAGTGCTGGGTAAAATAGGGACAAACCCAGCAATTGGGTTGTTTTGACCCAGCGGTTGGGTTAAATGTTTAACCCAACCTTCTGGGTAGTAACCCAACCACTGGGTCAAAACAACCCAATTGCTGGGTTTGTCCCTATTTTACCCAGCACTGGGTTGTAATTAACCCAGCATTTTTTAGAGTGTACAGTCAATATATTTAAAGTGATCCATATATGTGCATTATTTTTCAAGTCTTCTGACTGAAGGCATATGATACAGTAACTTTGAATGAGGAATTTACCGTAATGTAGTAATTCCGTAATAGTTTGAGATGCTTGTGAACCCAGTAAACCATGGTGTTGAGGTGTTTCTTTCAGTGTTTGAGTGTGCGTGTTTTCATTAATTGGTCTTATTTTATTTTTAATTTTTTTTGGACTGGACTGCAAAAAAGAGGGTAAAAAGTAGTGTGTGTGTAAAAGTAGCTTATGTTGCATGGTTTAAGACTCAAAGTTCACAGATTAGCTCAAAGACTCTTACGGACTTGTGGATATTTTGTGGCAAGTGTTATTTTAGTATCATTGAGAATGTTTTGATATTTTGAATATTTTTATTATTTATTTATTTCAGTTAAAGTTTTAGTAATTTTGTTGAGTTTTTGTCATTTTTATTAGTTTTTAAAAATTATGTTAGTTTTTATTATATTTTTATATAATTAATTATTAATAATTAATTGTATTATTTAATATTATTATTTCATTTTTATTCTTAATTATTTTTTATTCAACTTTACTTTAGGCCCAAGTACCAGAGAGATAGATGAGGGAAATTGGTAATACTCGGTAAATCCTTAGTGGGGTTTTTTTTATTTTATTTATTATTTTTATTTTAGTACATAAACCCCTGTTTTCACAGACAATGCTCAAGGCTAGTCCCAGACAATAATGCAAGTTTGAGCTGTCTCAACTAAAATGATCTTGCTCTGACATATCTTAAAATATGTTAGTGCCATTGTTTTGTCCCAAGATGCACACATGTAACATTTTTATTTTTCTAAGGTATTTTTATAAAAACTAAGCTAAGCCCCGTCTGTGAAACTGGGCCCAAGTTAAATCAAAATAACAACAAAACCCTGATGCTGAATTTACTTAACACTTGTATTCAGCAAGGATGCATTAAATGGATTAAAACGGCCAGTAAAGACATTTATAATGTTACAAATCTTATTTTTAATCTTATTAGAGATAAGCAGATGGGTTCAAACGAAAGCTCCACAGGCAAAATGCTTTACATTGCTCAAATGACAAGTTATGAGGCTTAGTGGATGCGCAGAATTTATGTATAAATCATAAAGAAATGGACAGAATAACATCCTTTGTTTTGATCAAGTATAAGAAGACGTGCTGTATTACCATTTAGTTACAGATGCTCCCTTGTGGCCTTACTGGAAATATAGATGATGATAATAATACATTTGAAACATAATGTCGTTCCAATGCATATGACTTTTTATTTTATTTTATGGAAAACAACAGGATAACTATAAGGATGTTCACGCTGCTCTAACTAAAGTGATTGTAGATGAAGACTGCCTACCTCCAAATATAAAAAACACACAATAAAAATAGATTTAGGAAGTGTTTTTGTTGATGTGTTTTTTCATATTGAAGTATTCTGGAGAGCCGGTGTATATTAATATTATCACTATTAGCTTTCTCACAGAACAGACAAAATGATACTTTCACGTTCAACTGTCTTATCAAACATTTTCTGTCACCTTCAGGACATTGTGAACCCTTTTAAAAAACAACATATGGCATAATAAAACACATAACTCACAACGCCTCACAATTTGACTAATAAAGAGTCTTTTATTGCAACCCACATTGTTGAACATGTGTGAAACATGGATAAACATGCATGTAGCCAGAAAACAGAGAAGACCTGAGCTACAGGACATCAAGTGTGCTTTTTGAATAGTGTGAGCTCACATTTGTGATGTGATGATTTTACCGCGATACAGCAAAATTTTTTTTTAAAAAAGGACAGAAGTGAGTTAAGGCTTCAGTAATGTATGCTACACAGAGATCCAAGATACATACACTTTTCCTCAAAACAAAAAAACAAATGCATTTAAAAGAATATTTCACCCAAAAATGAAAAAGACACCCTAACGTTGTTTCAAACCCATTTAACTATATATCTTCAAATTATATCGCGATTAATCGCATTCAAAAAAGTTTTTTGTTTACATACTATATGTATGTGTACTGTGTTTATTTAATATGTATATATAAATACACACACACACATACAGTATATATTTTGAAAATATGTACATGTATATACGTGACCCTGGACCACAAAATCAGTCATAAGGGTCAATTCTTTGAAATTGAGATTTATACACCATCTCA